CCGAGCATATAAGCCCTGGGAGTGATTTGTTTTGATTGTGTTCCACTACACCAAGTTGCCCGACACTGATGAGACCCAATAAAGGTCGAAACAGTTGTCTGTCGGTATTTGAAGATGGTGGAACGCATTCAAAACAAAAACTTTGGCGAGGTGTACGTTCAATTTTTTCTTATGAATATTTCCAGTGATGGGTCAAGAAAGTTTCTTAAAGAAACTAAGAAAATTGAATGTTTACCTTAATGTTTAGCCCGGTTGGGTTAATTCTAGATTCCTTTAGGCCATATTAGTATCTGTGATACAATTGCTGTGTGCAGTCCCGGTTGCATAGTATGTACCGATTGCGGCAAAGGCCACGTCGTTAGACGGTGAGGATCACCAGATGTTCTTACATCTCGCCTCTGTTGACTTAACAGCCGAGCATATAAGCCCTGGGAGTGATTTGTTTTGATTGTGTTCCACTACACCAAGTTGCCCGACACTGATGAGACCCAATAAAGGTCGAAACAGCTGTCTGTCGGTATTTGAAGATGGTGGAACGCATTCAAAACAAAAACTTTGGCGAGGTGTACGTTCAATTTTTTCTTATGAATATTTCCAGTGATGGGTCAAGAAAGTTTCTTAAAGAAACTAAGAAAATTGAATGATTCTTTATCAAGTTGCATGTTTTTCTTAAAAATTGGCTATTGCAAGTAGGGTTTTTTACGTCAGTCATGTCAATTAAATTATTTTGACAAGAAATCATAAGTGTATGACATATTTAATTTTTTAATAAAAAAAACTTAAATTATATAAAGCATGTTTATTCGTAATACAAACAAAAAGAACAAATTATTTATTGGGCGACCAAAATAAATAAATTTAAACTTGGATGGGCTCAGAAAAACCGGCCCTGGCAATTTTTTCATTCAGCCTCCCTCGGGCATTATCTTACATAATCTTACAGATTTGTAATGCTATAAAAACTCCATTTAAAAAAAAAAAATTAATACTTGGTAGAACCAACATTCTTCTCTATAACATTTTGTAATATCCTAGGCATGGAACTAATTAAATTTTGCATATCGTAATTTTCTTCCAAATTGTTCCACTCATTTGGAATTGCATTAATAAGGTCTTCTCTATTTATTGATCTAAATTCATATTAATATATATTTTTTACGAATTTTCCCCAAATATTTTCGATTGGGTTCAAATCGGGGCTTCTTGACGGCCAAGGAAGCGTTGTAATGTGATTTTCTTCTAGCCAATTATGAACCACATGAGCAGTGTGAACTGGCGAGTTATCCTTAAAATGAAAAAAAAAAAATTTTTGATCAGGAAAGATAAATCATAAAGTGTTACGTGTTGAAACACAAAATCATTATCAAATCTTTCTTGCACTGACGGAAGCATTACATCGTTTAAAATTTCCACGTATCGGTTCCCAGTTAAGCGGCTTTTTACAATATGAATTATACCAGCCCCTGAGGATGATATCCACGCCCACACGTGGACAGAAAATCTTCCGCTGTTGTCAGTTTTGTGGAGGTATTCTTCATCAAACTTATGGTTTCTGGGACGATAAACTCGCAGTTGCCCATTGTAGCAGGATTGAAATATTTTTTCATCTGAAAAGTCTACTCGCTCCCAATATTCAGCGTTTTGATTTAAAAAATTATTTGCAAACTCCACTCTTGCCTTTTAATTAACATCCGTCAAGCGAGGCTTTTTAGCACTCACGCAGTTAATAAACCTTGTTGTCGCAACCGTTTTCTTGCCGTCCTAACAGATGCTGGGAAGTCTTTGGCTTGAATGGAGTTAGAAAATGGGTTTTGCCTCAAATATTCAACCAACTCGTTGTCGTTTACTGGAGTTGTCTTTCTTGGATGCCCAGAACCCATTACCTCACTCAGGTGACCAGTTTCCACCCACTTTTTGTTTAATTTTTGAATAGTGCTTTTGCTGCATTTTATTTCATCTGCTATTTGTTGTTGAGACCATCCTTCTCCAATTTTGGCGATAATATAGCCTTTATCTGCTTCACTTAAAGTATGGTAAGGCATAATTAAATAATGACTTTACTTAATTTAAGATTTACTTAATTTAAGATGACGTTACTTCATTTTATAAAATTATTTTTGAAATGCCACTGGTGACAACCATATTTACAACGGGAAAATTAGTCGATTACTTTTTATCGGCCGCAATAGTACATGAGACCTTAGCCGAGGCTGCAGATCTGAGCAATGCAGTTAATATGCTTTCTTCGCTGTGCTGTACCGTGTTGTTATAGAATAGCTATTTACATACCATGGGAGGAAAATAGTGCTTTTCCTCCCGCGAATAGTTTGATGCCCGACGCGAAGTGAAGGGCATTAAACATTCAAGGGAGGAAACGCATTTTTCTCCTGAGGTATGTATATAGTTTTTTCTATTACCTTTTAACGGTTTTAAGACATTTTAAGCGTTCCGGTTCCTTTTACTAACCCGGTATGGGGCTATAAAATTATGACAAAATATTAAGTAGGTGTTGCGTCGCCGACGTTATTTTGACAACGCTTGGTTTCTATGGTATTTTTGGTAATACAAACAGAACAGTTTTTATAAGCTGTCAGAATGTTTATCATAAATTTGAAATTCTTCCTAAGTTTTGAAAATGAGTTCTAGCGAAGAAGACCTGCCGCAAGATCTTGCTGAAGAGGCAAGAATAGTTAAAATTAATTTCCTTCCTTAAAAATCGAAAGAGCGATATGAAAATGAATATAGTTTGTTCATAGAATGGTTGAACAAGCGCGGAGTAAATCTTTTTCCCACAAAATCAAATAGGTCTAGACAAGGTACAAAATTTTTTACTAATGTAAAATTGATTAAAAAAAAAAGAGGAAGGAAATTGTTTTCCTCCCGGGGAGGAAAAGAGGCATTTTCCTCCCTCGTTTGGGGGTGAAAAATTAAGTTTTCCAGTAAGGTAGTAGAAAAACTATTTTTTTAACATTTAATTATTCTGTACTTACATTGAAATTATCGAGTTTGCGACATTTTGTCAGTTTGACATATCGACCCATGCAACGAAGAAAAACTCAAAAAACGTGGGTTTTGACAGATTTTTTCAAGCTCTATTTGGTGGAAGATTACAGTGACTCAGACATGAAACGATAGGCAACCAGTGAACAACTTCCCTGTATAGTAAGTGTAATAATCCACATTCCTACAGGCGAAAACTATATTAAGTTGAGTTACTCCAGTCTACAATCAAAACTGAGTTACAATAGTCTTCGTTGCATGGGTCCATATGTTATATTATATATACCTACCTATAGGTTGTGTACATGTAATTTTACATTTTCTTTGCTAATTTCATGCTAAAAGTAATAGATGGAACACTCTTCCTATGTAATTTTAATGTATTTCTTTATTATATACGGCGTTGTATAATAATTTAACCTTCTTTGTCTTTCTAAATGGGCTTATGACTATTCAATATAACTTTATAAAATTTTATAAAAAGTGTATTAATTTTGTGTATTAATAACCTTGATTTTGTAAAAAAAAACAACTAAATAGGTAGAGTTGTAAATATACTGGTTTAACCTACAGGTATAGCACAAACAACACGTGATTAATAAAATTAATTATTTCGAATCAAAGGTACACTTTTGATTTTTATATTTAATCTACACAGAGAAAAATAATCTCTTGATTTTACTATATTTGGGTTGGCTCAAATAAATTATTTATTTCGATATCTACAAGAAGATATTTATTTAGTGGAAAACTTGGGTGTATTTGATCTTTTAAACTGATATTTGGTTAATACAAGTAAATATCTAGTTGACTTTTTATCTCAGGTTTAGTAGAAGCTTACTTATAATTGCTCTAAATAAATATTTCTTTTAAAATTAATCACAACAATAAGTTGTTTTCAAGAAAATTATGATTTACAACCAAATAATAGTATTTTCTTATTGTTAAGTTAATACGAATAGGAAAATTTTACTTCATACAAGAAAACCTGTTTCAAATAAATGCATTTTCTTAAATCAAGAGATTACTTTTCTCTGTGCAGTATATAATCGCCGCTACTAATCCAATTAAATTAACCAAGTATTATATTATAAATTTTATAATGATGTTTTAAATAGGTTTTAAAATAATTTAATTTTTCACATACTTTACCTATACCTGTACCTTAAAAAATTATATTAGTTATTAAATTATACGGAATACGGAATGCAAAAAAATGTATAGCCTGTTTGCCCAAAATATAATTAATAGAATTATTTGGCCGTGAAACCCGGATTTTTTTTTGCTTGCGGCGCTTTCCATTTAAGACCCCACCCTAAAATTTAATACAGAGCCCCTCTGTCCTAAAAGTGTTCTGTATAAAAAATTAGAGGGGGCATGGAAAGCTGTTTTAAACCCTTATAAAATCATAGTCAATCAAGAAAATTAAATTAAAATTCGTACAGGATCTAGCTAAATACCACAAAGATATTGTAATATATTTTCATAATAATACCTTTATTGTTATTATTTTAATGAATTTTGGCCAGTAAAAAAACAAGTTTTTATTTTACTCGTATGTTGTATATCTTTAATTTTTTCATAGAGATTAATTGTTTTTATTTAAAATTTAATTTCAAACAATTATCATTTTGGATTTTATATATTGTATAAAACATATTGCAAAAAATAAAGAAGTTTGAACCACATACATATAACAAGTTGTACTTATGCTTCTTTTTTTATTTATTTTACTTGCCTTTTCACATAAAAGAAAACATTTAAAAATAACATTTTATTTACGTAAAAAACCTAGTTCGACTTCGAATTTTAAAATTAATATAAATTTATTTTTATTAGGATTTTTTTTTAGAATACCAAAATAATTGTAAAAAACATTTCTACAGACAAAAAAGGAAAGTTTTTCTGACTGGTCGCGTTGATTTTATTCCATTAAAATTATTAAATTATTATATGAATGCAATCATTTATAAGGCCAATAATAAATGAATTTTACATACCTGTGCTCGAAAAAACAATAATAATGTTAATGCAAAGCGTCCACTGAAACATTTTGTGCGCAAATTAAAACGGATCAGAGAATTGATTTTAACTTTGCCGATAACTAATGGAATTATGTTTGGCCTGCGGAAAAATTATTTATATATGTAGGTACTAACCTTAAGTGTGGCTTTTATCTCTTAATTACCCACAAATACATTAAACAATTTGTAAAAGAATAACAAAAATGATTAAAAAATAATAGGAAACATGTTTACGGTGAATTTTTCTTTAATATTGTTAAAAAGTTTTTAAAATAACCGAACAAAATGTATTTAGAATTATCAACATTGTTTAATTTTTAACTCTTATTTTTGTATTTCTTACTGATAAATTAGTACATCTGGAATTTATTTAGATAACAGATAAAAAAGCGATATTATTTTTTTTCGATATAACATTACAATTTCTTTGATCATATCGAAAAATCATTCCTAATCTTGAGAGGTTGTTCAACGTTGAAATAATATTGATTTTCATTTTTTTTGCAATCTATTCAGACATTTTAAGAAAATAAATCTACCAAAAATGTTTTAATTTTATTGCCAAACCGAAGTGGAATATTTTAATTTGCCCTATTGTCAGGTTTTCTAATAACAAGGCACTAATTAAATTATTTTAGGAATACAAAATAAATATAAGTTTTCGGACAAGTAGTTTTTGAGTCATATGTGAATGACGTGAAGCCTTTACTTCGGAATTAACAACATTGGTTCTGTTACTCTAAGGTTTAGTCCCTTCAATATTCGGAAATTAGCTTTAATTGCCAAATTACAAAGCGTATATATGCCACTGCTTTGGAAGAACTTCTAACATGTGCAGATGCAGGAATGGACATAAGTGGTCTAAAGCGTCATGGTGGATTTAAGTTATATAGAAAATTCTTTTAAAAATTAAATTAAAAAATATCAAGTTGGGAAGCTGTTATTTTGTCCACTTCCACTAGTATTAGTTCCTCAGCAGTGCATCAAAATATTGTAACCAAGAATTTTGACGGTTTACCACTTAAAACGACAAACAAAACTTTGGGTTATTCCACAAGTAAAATAAATAATATTATGTATTTCAATAGTAATAATAATTAATGTTTTGTATATTTTTTAATAAAGTTAATCTATTTATATTTGATTAAATATTAGAAAAATCTAACTATGACCCAAGAATTTAAACTTGGTAACATTTCAATTTCTTGCGAGCGCAAAATAATATTCGTTTATTTACTTCGAAAAATGTTCTTAAATATTTAAAACCTTGAAAACAACAAAAAAAATGTAAAAAGGATCAAGACAGGGTTGAAAAATGTCACATTGTTCGCGTGTTGTCAGGTAGTCATGCGCGCAACCAGTATTTTGCCAAATTTTTAATATGGAGGTGTTACCATGTTGTAAGTACTATAAATTAAAGTATTTATAAACGATGTAAATCTAATTTCTCCAAGTGAAATATCTAATTATCTAAACAGAGTAAAATTTGCATTGGCAGTTTTGCATTAAGTGCCAGCTTAATCAATGGCATTGAATATTGCACATACTTGCAGATTTTATTGTTTTCGTCTTTATTTTCAAGTCGTGGAGACGATTCCCTGAAAGTTAAAAAGTTTATCACAAGAAAAGAACTATATTTAGTCCCAAAAAAAGAACGCTTTCACAAGTATTCGCCAATAACGCCAAACGATTGTATGAATACATTTTGAGCAGTTTACATACTTACACTTTGTATTTAATATTTAAACCCATGGATTATTCGTAATAATAATACCTTTATTTATTCAGGAGTCCAATCATACAATGTATATCATTATTTCATTAACGTATTGAAAATATAATACTTTTTTGAATAGGGTTCATATACAGAAATACATACTCGTGGTATTAAATGGCCTCTGTACACTGTTGCCAAATTTTGGATAATGGTTAAATAGAAAATGTTCGGAGGTATATCAACTGGTATATTTAATTTGGTAAACATATGTGTGGCGCCCTTATCGTAAAAACGGTAAACCGGATTGTGTATCCAAGTCGAATTGACCTCCCAGCTAAAATTTGGCAAACGTCCTAAAATGACCTTGACTAATTATTCAAAATATTGTGTACTTTAATTTATATGAAATAATGTCTTAATTTCTTGCTTTAGACCCCAAATCGACTTGAAAAGAAGAAAACAATAAAAGTAGCTAAGGAAAACACTTTTTGGATATTTTCCTGTCATAAATATTTTTGACGCCGTAAATATGATGTATTGCCTTACGTGGAGCGGCTAAATCCGGACCCTAAATGGAAAATACTAAACGGAGAAAATAAAACAGTAACCATTGATCCGTAAAACCCTAATCCACTTAATATACAATGTCAACGTCAATGTCAATGAACTGTTTAAAATTATACAATTTTTAATAAAACATCATCATCACGGGGTACTTTCAAAACAGAAATGTTTATTTTTGTCACATCAATGAGAAGTGCCAGGAACTATAAGGAGCAATCTTCTGCCCATCAATTGTTACTGTTTTAATTTCTCCATTTTGGGCACGTCGTCAAGGAAAAAAGGTTATTAAATAGTATATTGCATTACAAGGGATGGAACACAGTGATTGCATTGAGTGTGCTTCCCGAGCGAAGCGAGGAATGCACACACAATTTGCGATCAATGTGTTAAGGTGCGTGTGCAACAAAATACTCCGAACGAACCAAAGGCGACGCGCGCGCTGCGCCAAATGCAGCAAACATTTTTGTGGAAGTTCGTGCCGTTTCTGAGCATTTGCTGTGTTCGTCGCGCTCCCTCTAATAAATGTGTGTTCGTCAGGATGAATGCATATGTAAGAGGCGTGGCCCTTGAACTAGTTAAGTCATACCTTTCCGATAGATATCAATGTGTAGAAATTGACAAAATAAAATCCGACTTTGTTCAAATGAAATTTGGAGTGCCGCAGGGATCTGTTCTTGGGCCTTTACTATTTATAATTTTTATGAATGACTTTGTGGTAAACAATGCTTCCGTTTTTATGTATGCGGACGATACAACAATTTTATGTAAAAGCAAGGATGAAGCTTGTCTTGAAGAGGATTCCTTGACTGCAGCAAGTGATGCCAAACTTTGGTTTGCTGATAATGGTTTGCTTTTAAATGAGGAGAAAACCCAAAGCATGTATTTTACTTTACAACCTTCTTTTAATAATCAGCTTTCAATTAAATATTTGGGAATATACCTGGATAGCAAAATGGACTTTAAGGCACATGTTTTAAGTTTACTAAGTAAGTTGTCAAAAAGCATCTATTTGCTCAGACAACTTCGTAGTCTATTATCGAGAAGTGTCCTCAGAATGACATATTTTGCTGTTTTTCATAGCCATTTATTTATCTTATGCTACTATATATTAAAGATCTGAAGATTTTGACCCTTAGTGGTCAGTATATCTTGGACTGTATCTTGTATGCTCATTCTGAGGACTATCAGTGCCAGGGGGATCATCATGGTCATGATACTAGGAATAAAGGCTTGATATCTCTGCCAAAATGCAGGCTTTCTAAAATGCAGCAGTCTTTTAAATACCAATCGGTGATATTTTACAACAAGATTCCACCTAGTTGGAAAAAATATTCTCTAAAAAAATTGAAATCTTCTTTGAAATTGTTTTTGTTAGAGCATTGTTTTTATAGCACGAAAAAGTTTTTGGAATATTGTGATAGTAATGTAATGTATTGATGCCATGTAGTGTTTTGATTATTAATGTTTTTTAATTGTATTTTTTTTTAATCTTTTATGTATATATTCTTTATTTTATTATGCAACGAATTTTCTTGTATTTATTCTTTTATTTATAATTAGTGTAGTTGATAATTATATATTTATTAATTTATGTTCCCGACTTGTGCACACAATTTTGTATTGTTTTTAAGCATAAATAAAGTATTATTATTATTATTATTATAATACACACATCAAGAAAGTCTAGGGATAATCTTGAAAATTTGCAATAAAACAATTATTTTTATCAAAAAAACTCTCATTTTTTTGTAGGATCTCCTCACATGTATTTTAATCATTTGTTATAATAATATTTTGTTTTTTAATTATTTGTTAAAAAAATATTCAACAAAAAAGTTGTGTACTAAATTCGAAGGTAGTGGTCTATATAAAAACTGCAAACAAAAACGCCAGAAAACTTACACTCTGCTAATAAAAATATTCAGTTGAGTTTGCGAAACCATGGCGAGAAGACATTTAACGAATGAAAAAATGTTAAGAGCTATTGGGATGATTGAAGCCGGTGCAACCCAACAAGCAGTTGCCGCTCGGCTAGAAACATCACAAAGCGTGATAAACAGATTGTGTCAACGCTATCGAGAGGCAAACCGTGTGAATGAAAGACATCCAGGCCGAGGAAGGCTTACAACGGCAAATCAAGACCGCTTTATTGTTCTGCAGGCCAGAAGAAACCGATCTCAAACTGCATCTAAGTTGGTTGCTGAATTGCAATTGTCACATAATGTGACTGTGAGTGCTCAGACCATCAGAAGACGATTACATGAAAGAAATCTTCATGCTAGACGCCCTCTCAGGGTTCCCCTTTGTCCGCTGGAAATCGAGTAGCTAGACTTTTGTGGGCCCAGGAGCATTTAAATTGGTCTGAGAACAATGGTCCACAGTTTTGTTTAATGATGAATCTCGGTTTGGCCTGCATCCAGACTCAAGAAGAACGAGGGTATGGCGATGTCCCGGACCAGCAGCACGGCTAGAAAATGCTCAAAAGGTCCATACTTACCGTGGTGGAACTGTTATGGTATGGGGTGGCATCAGCGTTGGAGGAAGAAGTGATCTCATTCCACTTTAGGGATTTGTTATCCTTCAACCCCTCGTGATCCCTATGCTGCAGCTGTTGGTCCAAGATTCATTTTCATGCACGACAATGCCACCCCACACAGTGCACGAATAATAAGTGATTTCTTGGATGAAGAAAATATCGACGTTCTTCCATGGCCAGCACAATCCTCGGACTTAAATCCGATAGAGCATTTGTGGGACATGTTACAAAGGCGGGTTATGTGTAGAAATCTTTTTTTTAATAATCGTCAAGAGCTCATTTTAAGAATGGACCGCCATTGACCAGGACGCAATTGATGCATTAATTTTGAGTATGAACAGACGGTGCAGAGCTGTGGTGAATAGTAGAGGAGGTCACACCACTTATTGACATTATTTTCGCCTTCATAATAAAGTTTGATTTTTTTGTTATTTTCACTTCATTGTTTAATAAAGCTATATTCATTTCATTGAATATTTTTATGACTTTTCGTTCAAAAATGGTAAAAATATATATGTGAGAATATCACATAAAAAAAGTTAGAGTTTCTTTACAAAAATAATTGTTTTATTGCAAATTTTCACGATTATCCCTAGACTTTGTTGATGTGTGTAATAGCGGCTGGTGCTTTTTTAATATAAGTGCTTTAATTAGCAATAAGAGAAGAAAAAAAAAAGAAAAGCGTGGTCAAGACGTAACTTTTTGCGTCGTATAAATTTGGAACTACTCAGGGATTTGGATCACATTTATTTACAAAGTTTTACTAGGATGTCTGCAGAAGATTTTGAGTCCTGAAACTTTTATACTAGTTTATAATATTTATTTAAAATTTCGAAACCATAAATTAGTTTTATAATTATAGAACCCTGCATTGCACTTATTCAAAGACTTAAGAATCAAATAAAAGAATCAAATAAAGGTGTATCAATATAATTTTTAAATTTTTGCCAAATTACTTCCCAAGCGTCAAATTTTTTATTTTTATTAAAATACAGCCCATTTTTGGCATCCCATAATAAAGGGTGCTTTTTATATTCATATATCAATTTGATTCCCTGCTCCATTTCGTCTTTGCACTTTCTTATAATAATTGTAATTACAATCAATAAAAATAAAGAATTAAAACCAACCAACAGGCCCAACACTGCAAACACACGTTCCCACTGAGAACTGGCGAACGACTAATTCGGCGAAAATCCCTTGGCGCAAATCCGATTTACCGACAATCATACGAAAAAGTTTGGGGCGTTCCGTTCTTTACGGCGCGAGGTACTCACTAGCGCAATTTGTTGCAGCGCGTTTGGTCCGTTCGGAGTTATTTGTTGCAAGTCAGTACACACCTTCACATTCCGAGTACTGGTCCAAGCCATTGCAGCTACTGAAAACCAGACTATAACCTGCCCCATTGCCTCATCACTTCCGGACCCCACAGAGGCCTCTGTTTCCTTACACCGATTTTTTTTCACCACCAACAACGGCACGGCTAAGCCGCTTCACTCGTGTTTGCTGGGTGCGAATGTCAATTGTGTCACGTACTGTACCCTATTTGGGGCTTGAGAGCGAAATGTCAATAGTTTGAATATCCTTTCCCGGATTCGCCGGGTCGTTGCTATACGCCCACTAAGATCATAAAGGAGGTAGGACGGGAGGGATAGATATTTTGGTGTTTAGGGGACAAATCTGCGTACGACGCGGGATCCCCCTAGACCGGGCAGTTAGTATTACTCCAAACATTTGGGATTACTCTTTGAAGTTGGGAGTTGTTATTTCGCTGCAGGGGCCTAACTTACTAGTAGTGGTCTACGTCTACCGTTATTGTCTGTATCCCTATCCAAGTCGGATTGTTCCTGCACTTGGTATAGTAATTTAGTTGTTTTCCTTATCTTAGTCTTGTTCGTGCTAAGTTGCTTCCAACTGTTCTTGTTAATTTGTGAGAAGTGAATATTTAATGATAACGTGTCACCCGACTTTTTTGTCTAGAAGGTCTAGTTTTAGGGTGGCTTGTAGTATGTCGTTCCGGTGCCCACGGGTGACGTGGGCCCAGTATTTTAGTTGGTCCACCCTTACCCGTTTGGTAATGGTGTTGCCCAGATATGTGTTCGTAAGGACTGATAAATTCGTTTATTGCGTCTTCGATGTCTGTACGTTCCTAGGTTAGTGCGTAAAAGTTTGTTTAGTTTTTGTCTTGTGACGGCTGTTGTTTCTATTCGCATTGCGATCATATCTCTGTGTTGAACAGTTGGTGTGCAATTAATTAATGCGATTAGGCAGTTACCGGTGGGAGGTATTGTTTGACTTTTACTACTTATTCTAATGTGATTACGAAATCCTTTAGAATTCGGTTGGTGTATTTTTTCTGTGTTTAGGTTTTCTTAATTTATTGTTCATGGTGTCAAATGTTTATTTTTGGCCTCGTTTAACTCGTGCTAAACACTTTATTTTGTTGGGGCCGTACTCTGAAATTAATGGGTAAATTAAAACAGCGTTATGCATTAAAAGCGTTGATTCAAAAAGTCTCCACTAAGCGGTAAAAAACACAAAAACGGAAATATATTTTGTATTATATATTATATGAATAAATAGTAGATAGGGTAGATATATTTTACGTTTACTATTTTAAAATGCAATTGTCGGAGTTTTTTTAGAGGACTCAAATTTAAACTTGTTTGATTTTAAGGTTATATTTGTACAACTAATATTTTTTGATAGATTTCTTTAAAATGTCTTAACTTAAATATAAAGTATATTAGGTAAATTTCTTGAATTACATTTACAATGAAAAACACAATAATTCACCATATTCACTTAAATAAAATACACACACTAACGTAACTATAACAGCATATAAGCGTTGAGTTAATCAATTATATAAGGAATAATAAATCGAAATCGGGTACTAAATTAAAGTGTTGCAGTTTTTACTTGCAACGCAAAACAAATATAACGTGCGCGATTTAGCTGTGCAATTGAAACTTTGCGATCAAAATTTGTCGAGTAAGACTTCTGTCTTCCTCTCTTTTGTAAAAAAACTACTTTATTTATTTAAAAATGATGTTCAGTTCTTATGCTTTAAATCTATTGTTGGCAATTCCCACAATGCTATCGAGCGCAAACAGATGACGCGAGCGTTGCGAAAACCCGATGCTTCTTTAGCGTATAATAAAATGACATTTTATTTTAAATGACACATTTTTTAATCAAAATTTTCTGTCTCGGCAAAATTAATGTTGTTGGGAATTATATTAGTAATACTATTACTAAATTTGCTGTTTGTTAAAATGGTTAAACGTGCTAAAAGTATTTGGACCCTAAAATCCTATGTAAATGTGAATACACTAAAACCGTTTTTGCTTGTAAGTATTACCACTTTATATATTTCAATTTTGTATAAAGAGGTGTTTAATAGGCTTGGCCAAAATATTGTTATGGAAAATGCCAAAGTCCTATTAATATAAATTCAGAAAAAGTTTACGAAATTCCCATGCAAAAGTTTGAGTTGCAAAATTTTGATTCCAAACAAAAGGCAACTATATCTAACAATGGACACACAGGTATTTTTACATAAAATATTTAAAACAATTACAATTATTTTAGATCTAGATCTTTTAACGTATTAGGCAACCGAAATTGCATTTTGATAGATTAATAAGCAAATTAAATTTATAGTATCGATTGTATTTCAAAACACAAAAGATATAACACTCTCTGGAGGAGGTCTTTTTGGAGTTTATCACATATATAACATACATTTTCATTGGAAAGCGGAGCACCAAATTAACGGAAAAAGGTAAATTTTAATTTATTAATATTAAGTCACGTCAAATTAGCCAGGCTTTGTTCCCGTTAAATAAAACATAAATTAATAAGCACCATTTTGATAAAAATTTATGTATAGTTTAAAGCTTTCAAGATTTACATAATGATACAACTATAATAATTATTGCTGTTATTTTATTTTATAAAATAATAAATAACAAACCTTTTTAAAAAACACCTATTATTTAAGCCATAGGTACATTAAAACGATTAAAAGAAGTAGGTAATAATGTTGATTAAATAGCTTTTAAAAAGCTTGTCGTCCATATGGTAGGTACCATATGGTACCTACTTTTATGAACATTTCTTGACAAGCTTTTTGAAAACAAATAATTTAACATTATTACCTAACCCTATTTTATTCGTTTTAGTTCATGGTTGAATAAAAACTTGTTTTAAAGAAGGTTGTTTATTTATTATTTTATGTCTAATGAGGCAGTAACCCTACCATATTGGATTTGGAATAACGTTATTCTGCTTGTCAAACCCTTTTATTTAATACCCATGTCAAGGGAATTGTGAAAAAATAGGTAATCCGCCATATTGGATTTAGTATGTCACTTATCTTATCGTTTTCTACCAATAAACCATTTCATTTAAGACCCATATCAAGTAGTTGGAAAGAAAAAGGCAATTAATCTTGAAGCGGCTGTCATTTAAACAAATTACAATATAAAGTATATAATAATAATAATATATTTATTTACGGTTATACCGTTGCAAAATATGAGAAAAAATACAAAAATTAAATATAATTATTATGAAACAAATTGTTCATAATACTTTTACACTTGCTTAGAGAGTTACATAAGAGATCCACAACATACTTATTCGCCACTACACTGTCAATAGGCATGGATTGGCCGTAGTTGGTACTATGGATTTTTATATAGAATAAACTGTAGTGTCTAGTATGCCTTACAGGTACATAAAATTTAATTCCGCTTAGCAATGCACTTCAGTTTATAACATTATCCAGGAGTTTATATAAAAACACTAGTTGAGCTTTTTCCCTCCTGACGGTCAATGGATCAGGACCCAACAAGTGCCTTAGTTAACATCACACCATCGTTCCAAGCTGTGCAAATCATCTTGAACTAAGAAACAGCCATCAATTGATTTTACTTTCTTAAATCATCTGCGAATAAGAGGCAGTTACTAAATTTAATATTAAAAAGTATATCGTTTATAAAAAGATTAAAATGTAAGGGAGAGAGATGTCCACCCTGGGGAACTCCAGATGTGACAAAAATAATCTTAGATTTAAACTGATTGTTTAAAAGACTTTTTAACCAGGTGTGAAGTTTACCACTCACACCCAAAGCTTTTAGTTTTGCCAGCAAAAGTTGATGTTCAACCTTGTCAAATGCCTTGAAGAAATCTGTATAGATGGAACTCTTTTAATTACCATTCTACCGTATGTTGATGAGGCCTTATATTCCCAACCTTTTGAGGTGTTTCAAGTTCCAAAAGTTTGGTCATAACAGGGACAAGTGTGAAAACGAGGAGGTTTTTATATGCGGCAAACCCTTGCTGCTGGAACCACTGATTGTCCGAATCAATATCGTTCATCATCAATATCGAATAAATAATCACTTATCATTGCCCAGTGATGTTAAAATTTAATATTGACTGTAACACGAAAATAAATACCGATGATGCCACCGCTAAAGACGCAGCAAAGAGTGCACTTTTGTAGATTTGATTGAGTATTGTGTAGCTTTTCATCATACAAAATTTACCCACAAAACTACGAATAGCGAGCTTTGAAAGTTGCAGGCCGATTTTGAAAGAAACGAAAGAATTTTGTGGTGTAATAATTAGGGATGGGATTTTAGTTATTTTACCTTTTTTCAACCGATGTAACTATTTGAAAACCAATAATGCCAAAATGTGTTTTAAAAGATTTTCTTTTATATGAACCTAACTTGTTTTCACCTTTTTTACCTTTTTTGGAGGTTTTTGCTTTAAACTACCTTTTTTATACTTTTGTTACCTATTTTTTAAAATTGTTTTCACCTTTTTTACCTTTTTTGGGGGTTTTTGCTTTAAACTACCTTTTTATACTTTTTTAACCTATTTTTTAATTTGTTAGTTTATTTTCACCTATTTGTTACCTATTTTTAAGTATTTTTACTTATTTTATTTTTTTGTGTTCTTTTTAAATTTTGCGCCAATATTTTATCCAGGGCGTGCAACTCAACTGTATAGAATTTTTTCTTGTGGTCACAGACTGTAGTAGTAACTTTCTTTGCAGTTACCTTCTTTGTAGTGAGCTTGTTTTGTCATAGAACTTCTGTGTATTGAGTGTCACTCAGTGAAACACTGTTTATTGCATAGAAATAGTTTATTGTGGGTATGTTCTGTGTTTGGGTATGCGGCTAAACAGAATTATAAAAAATGCCCAAAACCAAAGAAAATCCTCTAAATAAACTCAGCAGTTAGATAGATGGGAAGAATAAGATATTTTATATTGACGGAAAAAACTTATTTTGTAGAGTTTGCTGTAAAATTGTAAGTTACTCTAGTAGTAAATTTGGTAAATATAAGGTATTCCCTGTTATATTTTCAGTTCCTGATAGCTTTAATTAACTATTAGTCAGTTTACAAAAAAAATATTTTATGTTACTTATTTTATAAAAATAAACGAAACTTGAACTTTTAATGTTTTTTTTTTACCTAAAATGCTGTTTTTTTAACCTAAAATGCTTTTTTTAGTACCTTTTTAGTTACCTATTTTTCAGTTTTTAGCACCTAAATATCCCATCCCTAGTAATAATTTAATTAAGATTTGCCAAATATTTCTAAATATATAAAACATTTTATCAAAAATGACAGCTATTGAAAGATCTATCAGTGTTAAAAGCACCCATATCCGCCTTAAAAGTGGTAATGTTTTGCACAATATAATATATGATATTTGTTGGGGGCATTTTATACCACTCTAAAGGTATGTCTGTATGTAAAGCCTGGTATTTGTCTTAAAAATAAGAAGGAAGTGCTTGTACTTTATGAGACAATTAGGGAAAGAATAATATAGTTAGACCTGATTAATAAAATTTAAGAAAATACCACCTGATGGCCGAGATCTTATATAATAATATATTACAATAACTAATAGTTATGTTGGTGATTTTTTTTGTTCTAATAAATCTTGGACACAGGAATACTTGGAGTTATACCTATCTAAAAAAAATAGTGGTTGGAAGTTTTCTAAAGCAAATACCAGTCTTTAAGCGATTGCAACACTCGTTTCCTTAGTCGAAGAGAGCAGGTAATAATTACCTCCTTGGGTTGAGACATACCTAAGTTACCAAATCCTTCAACTTAAATCATATTTTTACATCTTTATCTCTTCACGGAAAAATATTAAAAATTTAAAAACACTTTAAAATAATTAATATTTAAGTAAGACTGATTTAACGTGAATTCCTACAAAAATTAATATTCATTACCAAACTAATATTTTTGATAGATTCCCAGTAGAAATTCATTTAGTATTTATGCACACCGATTGTAAAAGTATCCAGGACGCTATAAATTCCCAATGGGTAACTGTACTGGGAATATTGGTAGAAGTATATAAATGGATTAATATTGTACAAAGTAATTAACTAATTTATTTACGCTTAGGAAATCTCAAAATCAGAAAACAAATCCATGGAAGCGGTAACAAATCAGATAAGTGAGATTGAGAACGCAGACAAAAATAAGGCAGTGCAACTAAAGCAAGATATTTTAGTCAAAGATTTCCTACCTAAAAATATAACATCATTCTATAGATACTTTGGATCGCTAACAACTCCAGCGTATAACGAGGGAGTTTTATGGACTGTATTTAAAGAACCTCTACGTCTGTCTAAACAATATGTAAGCTGTTTATTTTAGTTTTAAGATACATATGTATTTGCTTTATAAGAAAGAAAACTATTATTTTTTATTAAGAATTCATTGTTTTTCTCCAACCTTTGTGGTACACCCTAAACATTTTCTTGAAAAGTACACACTACACGATAAGGTTTTTTAAGTAAATATCAATAGCTGTATTTTTTTAAACGCCCACATGTTAATTACTATTACAAATAATTTTTTTACCTTTATTTTTAGATTGAAAATATTAAATGCATTCGAGGACCCGATGGAAATATTTTGGAAAACACATTTAGGCCAATTCAGCCTCTAAATGATAGAATTATTTATGCAACATCAAGAACAAATTAAAAAACAAAATAATAAAATTGTAATATATTTAAATTACAAAACTAATTTATTAAAATCATTTGGTTAAGTCACAATTTTTAACTAAAGAGTATTCTTTATTAACAAAATCACATTTATTTAAAGATACACTATGTAGTAATAATAAAAAATAAATTCAGAGACTGATTAGTGATAGTTATAAAGTATAACTCAATAGCCTGCTTAAAATACCCAATAGAAACCTACATAAAATAATCTATCGGGCGCTACCGGTTTCAATATGTGCATTTGTCCATGTTTTTTTCCGGATACGGCCCGATAGAAAATTTATAGGAAATTACATATAGGCACACCATAACTTTTATATTTTCCCCATTGAAACCAATAGCAAATAAATCAAGGGTGGATATCCATATAGAACAACTATGGGTCCTATATATACATACCGATACACCATACATTCCGAAACAAATATCTATCGGTTTAAACAGGGTCTCTATGGGGTATTTTAAGCAGGGTATTAAAGTTAAATTAATATTTTTACAGTCTTCACCATAAATTCTTGCGTGTGACTCATTGCGCGCTGCCATCTAAACCAATGTTTAGAGACACGCGTGAGCATGGTACAAGAAAACATGCGCGTGAGTAAAGTTGCCGTTGCATCGAATGTAAAAGACGCGTACAACATTTCTGATCGTATGTCGAAGATATCTTCACACAGAAAAATTCGTGGCGAAAACTCAGTTCCTGTATAATACATCTATTTGACTAAATATAAAATTAAACTAATGACTGAATAACAATTATAGATGGCACATACACAGCTATATTTAATAAAGCGTTAAATTAAAATATGTTATCTACATAGATAACTAACAAGTCCATTAACGTCTTGTCTGTAAATTTTATTAATATATAATTTTCGACATCATACAAGAAATCATGCCAAAGCTTAGGGTTATTAAAATTGATGAAGTTGTAGATTGACTTCCAGCTCTTAATGGACTAACTTTGATCGATATGGATCTATCGTTAATATTTTGTAGTGATCGGTAATTGTGTTTTAAACGTTTTTGATTTTTGGTGTAGAGTTCTTCAAAAACTAATGCCTAAAAATAAAAATAACGTTAGTACATAGAAAAAAGGGTTAGACTAAATATTTATTTTATATGTCAAAGTTGAAATGACGCAGGTTTAAGTTACTTAAATAAAGGACACCGACATTATTTTAAAAGCAAAGCCGTAACCCTTAAATAAATGGGATTCAAAGAAAGAAAAATAAAGTATACTGTATAAGAGTTGCATCAAATAAAGTGGAAGAAGATAAACTGTGACATTTATTATAAGTTTACAGAAAGAAATATGTGTTTTTTTTCAAAAACCCGTACCTAATATTTTTTGATAAAAAAAACAATGAGGTAGAATAACCAAAAAATGGATATACAGGGTCTCTCAAAAATGGCGAACCAACGCATGAAAATAACAATAATAAAATTTAATAATAATCTATACTTAAAATTACCTCGTCGTATGCTGTAAGTGCCTCATTTAAGACACCCATTTGTTATTATAAAAGTAAAATTAAAATTTACATCGAAATGTTTTCCATATTTTAATAAATTCAAATAAATATTATTATTTCTTTAACTAAATTTAAAAAAAAATAGAAATGGTATAAAGTCTGTAATACTTGAATTTTTAATAAAGTTTGAAATTTGTCGATAAACTTTAGTGAATTAATTATTCTACCACTTTAATTTGAATTATCTTGATTTGGGGGGGCAGGAGGCTGGGGGGCACACTTAAAAACTAACTTTTTTTCGCAAACTTCAATTTGAATTGTGCTTGCGCAGAACTTGTCTATATAATGTCATTATAAACTCATATAAATTTGATGTGGGTCCCATGTCTAATAACTGAGATATGGGTGTGCCCAAAATCCACCAGCCGCCGTTAAACCAGTATATTTTCGCGCTACTGATTCAATTAAATTAATTTTTTTTAGAAATAAGGCTATTAACACACAAAACTTTATAAAAAAATAAATTATAAATTTTTTAAAGATGCATTTAATTGAATAAAAATTTGTACAGGATTAAAAATAATATCACAAGGATAAGGTGTTAAAATTTCTAAGCAATCTATGAATTTACATTCGCAACATTTTTTTTTTTTTCATTAGTTTCATTAAGAAGCTTTCTTGACCCATTACTGGTAATATTCATATTAACAAATATTACCAGTAATGGGTCAAGAAAGTTTCTTAATGAAACTAAGAAAATTGAATTAGGCCATATTAGTATGATACTAATAGTATCTGTGATACATTTGCTGTGTGCAGTCCCGGTTGCATAGTATGTACCGATTGCGGCAAAGGCTACGTCTATTGACGGTGTGGATCACCATTTCTTACATCTCGCCTCTGTTGGCTTACCAACCGAGCATATAAGCTCAGGGAGTCCTTTGTTTGGAGTGTGTTCCACTATACCAAGTTGCCCGACACTGATGAGACCCAATATAGGTCGAAACAGCTGTCTGTCGGTATTTAAAGTTGGTGGAACGCACTCAAAACAAAAAACTTTGGCGAGGTGTAGGTTCAATTTTTTCCAATTAAATTTATATTATATTTATTGGGGGCGCTATGGGGCCAGTACGTCCGAGCCTTTTTTTCGAAATATTCAATTTAAATTCTGCTTGCGCAGAACTTGTTTATTTAATGTCATTATAAACTCATATAAATTTGGTGTGGGTACCATATCTAATAACTGAGATATCGGTATACCCAAAATCCACCAGCCGCCACTGCCTTTGAGTAGGCCACCTCATACTCGGTAAAAGCATTAAGGACCTACTTATTATTTGCGAAGATACTAGAACATTTGCTATAGGTACGGTACCGATAAAATAATAATAAAAAAATAATAAAATTAGGTAATAAGATTTAAAAAAACAGGAAAGTAAAAAAATCTTCTTTTAATGTTTCCACATTTTATGTAGGAGGAATGCTAAATTTACAAATGTTAAATTTACAGTTTACTTGTATAGTTTTCTTGAATCTTTTTTGATTTTTTGTTAATTAAACATATGATTTGTTTTACCTGTGATTGTGAAATTGGAATGGTATTGGTGAAAACGGTCCAAACGATTCCTTCGTTGCAATTTGGAGTAGTCAAGGAACCATCGTATCTGTAATAACCTGCCGTATCTACAGGCAAAAATTTTCTTAACGAAAAATCGGACATATTTTGAGATTCCAAGTGTTTTGTTACTGTGTTTATCACGGAAACCAACGGTTTAAAATATTCGGCATCGTCTGGTGAGTACTAAAAATATTGTTGTGGTAAGTTTAATTGAAATTGTTTAATATTTTTTTTTGTATTACATCAAACATTACAGAAAATACTGCAACACCCTGTGGAGTGGTAACGGCTGAAGCCAGACTATCAAACTGTTTTGCATGATGTACCAAGTGAAGTTCTAAAGGAAATCTGTAATAAAAAAACAGTTTAAATTCATTGTTTTTTTAATTTACGTTTAATTTAAAACATTACCTGTAGTCATCTAAAGTGTGTTCCGACTTCCAATGAAAGTGTAGATGATCCAAAACATAAATATTTGGCAAGCTTCCACCTTTCACCTCGGGTCTCTCTTGGGAAGAAATATGTAGTCTTACTTCAGCTATAAAATGATTTAAAACGGTTAACGTAGAAGTTCTATTTTGATTTGCTTTTGAACGTACCTGAATGTCCATTATTTTTAATTTTTGCGAAAGGATTAATATCATAATTTTCCCAAATAAATGGTGTATAGAATACTTCGTTTGCTATATCTTTACTTAATGCAATTGGAGATTGTTTTTTGCCATCTTTGCAAAGTAGTGCCCAGTTTTCTAGAAAAAAGAAAAAAGACTGTAAATTATATTAGGTATTAAGAAAATCTTTTATTAATAAACAATATTTGACATTTATTTTAAACAAACTAATTAACCGAATTAGGTACAATTTTGACTTTTTTTTTACTAAATATTTAAAAATTGTTTTATTGATATTGTATTGTTTTATTAATTTTCTTGTAGTCGGTCAAAACCTTTTCTTAAATGATCTTTCATGATTTTTTTAAATATTAGATCAGATCTTTATTCCAACAATCCAGGCCTGGAATAGTATATTCTGTAACAAGTTTGGAATACAGCATATTCCGCTCGAGTGAAGAGTTTGTCACACAAGCCGAAGGCGAGTTTAACGGTTTCACGAGAGCGGAATATGCAATTCCAAACGTGTTTCAGACTATACTTTTTCTACGTTTCCAAAAAATACAATAGAAAAATAATTTAATTGGAAGAAAGTGAGGTTGGATCGGTCTAAAATTTGTTAGATATTAAAAACAGAGATGTCGCCACGAGTGTTTATTCTGTAATCAGATGATAGAATATTTCATTCTGTAGCACTTTACGGAATATATGTCATTCCATAAACAAAAGTGATATTAGAACTGTCAAATTCCGTAATAGGAGTAGACAAACATTTTTTTTTTCAATGACCTATATATTTTTTACACTCAAGGTACATTTATAAATATATAATACTTATATATTTACTTTACAAATGACAAGAATATGAGGCAGAAGAAGAAGCGCAAAAACATAATGAGAAGCGCAAAATGAAATGAAAATAAGGAAAATAATGGAGGGTCAACGTTAAATGGGAGTATGTAGGGAATAAGAGGAGATTCCTCGAGAGTGATGTTTAAAGGAGTAACACGCGATTGGAATCCCCTATTTTGATCAATGGTCGCACAATCATTTTAACTACCACAATGAATGTAAAGCCAATTTTATTTAATATTTTAGCTGTCAAGTCTTAACCTCACTTTTTTCAGTTTTAACATAAAGATAACTTCAGCTTGTGGGCGAAATGCTATTTCGCTTACTAGTGGAAGAAGTAAAATTTTGCCCACCGGTTAATTAAAAAATGAAATGGGTTTTAAATAATTGTAGTTACATAACAAGATTGGTATGAAGCAATTTACGTACAAAGCAGAAGAAGTGCGTAATTGCTTTACCACTGGAGGAATTTACATTATTTTATCTAAAACAAAACAAATTCAACCTTTTTGGAATTCTTAAAATTTGATATTGAAAGTTCTGATCTGTCACTTACTTAATTTTGTCACCATAACGCTAGTAACAAACCAAACAAGGAAAAATTCCCAAATCATAACAACTACAACTTAATCGCATGAAACTATGCGATCGAGCAACTTTACATCACACTGTGTGTAAAGTTTCATTTACTTAGGTTGTCAGTTGTACACAATTTTGCGTTTTACATAGTGGTCGTAGATAAAGTATATTTAATCTGTGATCCATGTGTATGTTCATTTGTGTTCAGGCTTTACTCATTTCGTAATTATGTATCAGAATTTCGAAGAGATCTGCTGAATTAGATTGTCTCCGAGTAGTTTAATTTTACCATTTGGAAGAGGCCAACTCTTATTAGCTGTTGTTAACGAACGAGAGTGGCCTATTTTTCCTGGGTTTCTTCTCGCTAAGTCTTGGGAAAATATGCACTTGACACCGCTTGACCAATTTCAAACAAGTACTTCTGGTCTGTACTTAAATCCTCAAAATTAATTTGTGGCAGCTGCGAATAACTTTTTTATAATTTATAATTCCCATTAAGATGTTTTTCTATTAACCCAGAAAATCCTTTAGTTTACCCATCGAGTTTTTGGAGTAAATGTCTGAAGGGAAGCTCATTTGCATATGGTAAACAAATTATCCACTGTAAAGGCCTTTTAAGCCTAATTTTCAATACTTTGATAATTCCAGATTTCCTTTCTGAATTGACGGGGGTTCCGTCGCATTCAATAAGCTTTAAATTTTAAATGTCAATATTATTATTTTAAAAATACAACAAAATGTCGTTAGCAGTAGAAGATGTTGGTGAAATATGTGCAATATATTTTGATCCTGGCTCTTGAATTAAGACCACATGTTCTTCCTTAATGATTTTTTGATATACTTTTTTTTCCTTTTGCTTCAGTTTTTATTATTATTATTTTTATTACTTTTTATTTTTTTTCTGACAATTATTTTTGTTTAGTTATCATCAGAAATAGGACCCATATCTTCTAAGGAGGCATTTGCAATAATAGCTGCTGCTCTGTCTGATACCCCTGTTTTTTCAACTGCCTGGGCAAGTGAAGGAAGATAACATTTTTGAGCTTGTTTTATTTAATGCTATTGTTGTGTTTTTTTGTGTTTTTTAGAGAATTATAGGCTTTGAGGCACCGGAAAATATCATTTTAAAATTAAAAGAAAAATATTTTCGTTACATGAAGTAAAAAAGAAAAACTATTACAAAATAAAATTTAAAACTTCGTTTTTAAGTTCCACCCTATTGTACATGTGGCATGGATTAAACTAAGTACAATTGTAATATAATGATCTTATAGAAAATGCTGTTACTGAAAGTATCGCCTTAGAATTGGCCATGCAAAACGGTTTTTTTTAAATTTCATTAAACGTGCTGTTATATGAAAGTTGTAAATGATACTGTCGAACGTCAAAATACTAGTGACCAAATACTGACGAAATATATTCCAAGCCTAGTTCAAAATTACCGGTAAAAGTTTCCTGAGTCGTAGTTTTTGATTTGTGTTTCATATTATTAATTTTCCGAATATATACATTTAATTATATGCGACCTCTCATTCTCATAATTACTCCAAACCAGATACTAATTTTATGATACGCCAATATTTAGTGGGTGCGATATAGTAAAAGATAATCCATTTTGATGGGTGTGTTTTAATATGTTCTAAAAGCATCAAAACAATATACCTAAGTATATAATATATGTAGGTAGGCTTGTACTTTTTAATATCTTAATGATAAAATATTCATAATAGAATACAACCAAGTTGAATATTTTATAGATTATAAAATTACATTTAATTATTTTTTGTTATAAAATATTTAATGCTTAGTAGACCTGTTTGTTCCATTTTACATGTATTTTTTATCTCTGCAAGTCGAACTTTCTCTAAGGGCCAGTTTATCAATATCCAGTTAAAGTCACAGTAATTTTCATGTATACCATTGTTCTTACAACGATCGATAAAGAATTTAACTGTCAGGTAGACTAACTGGAACTTGATAAACCGGCCCAAACTCGATTTTTTTTCTTGTCGCTTCAGATTCGATTTTAATTTAATTTTGGTATTAAATGTAAATTTGGTTTATGGCTGTATTTTTGATTTTAATGTGTTTTTTGTAAAATTGTTATTGTTCATAATCCAACCGAACAGTAACATCACTTTTATAGTGCATTTTATAGGTATTAGTAAGTATTGTTTGTATGGTAACTATTTTATAACTATTCGCCTAACTTAATGATGATTGGCTGCAGTCCAAAATCAGTAATAAAACATTATTATTTTTTAGGCTAAATAAACAATTGCACTGCTCGGCATCCAAAAAAGCACAACCAAAATTTTGTAAAACTAGGTGTTCTGGAACTTGCTGTAAATCGATCAAAGAAAATGAACTTTCATTTTCGATATTCCTGAACTAAACAAATAAGTTTTTAAAACTATGTAAGAGGAAAAAAAACTTAAACTTGCTGTTAATCGATAACAGAAAATCAACTTTCATTTTCGGTATTCCTGAACTAAACAAATAAGTTTTTAAAACTATGTAAGAAAAAAAACTTAAACTCCAATAATAATTTGCTTGGTAAAAACAGAAATGTCGGAGTGTTTCAAAACACGGTTCACCAAATATAAGAAAGAAAAGAGAGAAAATTAGTTATTAGTTTAAATTAATTTAAATTTATTAGTTGAATAACAAAAATTTACAAAATCATCGGATATTAAAAGTTCCTATGTAGGAAACGCCAAATGACAACGGAGCGAATCGATGGGCTGCTCTCTCTTATTATATACAATGTGTCCCTAAAGTGGCATAAATTTAGGAGCAGATTAAGAAAGTCAAAATAAGACAAAAATCAAAATAAATATTTTTCCTAATTACGTATGTTTAAAAGATACAGGGTGATAAAGTGTTACTTATCATATCAGTTTTTTTTAATATAACTTCTACTATGGTAGTCTTTCGAGTGAACACAGTGTCGTAGAAACAGGGGTTGCTTAAGCTTATTTTCCCATACAAACTTTGAGGTTAGGTTTTTATACCATTTGATGCAATTTTTCGATTACTCAGTTCGGCTACTATTAAAAGGTGTACCTCTCAAACTTCGATAATAACTAATTTTTTTAATGTGACGGTCAGGGCAAAAAGTCCCGAGTCTCAATTAAAAAATAAAATTTGTTATCATATCCTTTTAAATAATGCGATATATCAATTATTGTAATCTCGAATATCTCGGAAACGGTTTATTTTATCAAAGTTTGAGAGGTACACCTTTTTAATGGTAGCCGAACTGTGTAATCTAAAAATTGCATCAAATGTTATAAAACCTAACCCCAAAGTTTGTATGGGACAATAAGCTTAAGCAACCCCCGTTTCTACGACACTGTGTTCACTAAAACAATTATAATTATGTGTGAATATGTGTTTTGGAAGTAAGTGACTGTTCGCAAAATATTACCTATCCAAGACTACCATAGTAGAAGTTATATTAAAAAACTGATATGATAAGTAACGTTTTATCCCGCTGTATCTTTAAAACATACGTAATTAGGAAAAAAATTTATTTAGATTTTCGTCTTATTTTGACTTGCTTAATCTGCTCCTAAATTTATGCCACTTAGTTTAGGGACACCTTGTATATTAGCCCAGGCCTCAGCCATGCTTTAAAAACTGAGTCTTGGCTTCCAAGTTTCTGACCAAGCTTTAGCCAGACTTTTAAGACCGAGTATTAGCTC